GAACGATAAAGTATGAACCCAAAAAATCAAGTCTGAAGAAGGAATAATAAACCTACTCCCCACTACATAAACGCGATCAGTTACGGATTTTAAATATCAGGCACCGCGGCGCGAGGCGACACCTCTCCACGACGCGAGGCAGCAACACGGCGCGAGGCGGGACCTCTCCGCGGCGCGTGGGCGGGACTTCTCCGCGGCGCGAGGCAGGGACACGGTGCGGCAGAGGATAGGTGCCAAACTCGCAGTCCAGGTCGTGGCATCTTCACGGCGCGGGGCAGGAACATGGCGCGACAATTGGCTTCACCGCGGCGCGACAGCGTGAAGAACTGATATTCTGGCTGATTTCTGATACTCGGTCTGATTTGGCTTGAAGTCCGGTTACTCGGTCATTTGACTAGCTCCAAACATGATGAAGAACCTGAACCTACACACCACCAAAAACGAAAGAAAAACACACGAAAATAGACAAAAGAGCAGAAAATATCGAAAACGAGAAAGAAACGGCAAACACACGAAAGGAACGACTGGTGTACCAAAAGAACTAAAGAGACTCTAAAAACAGGGGTAAAAACTAAAAATAACTAAAGAAAAAGCTAACAAAAATGGGACAAACAATGTTCAACAATTAAATAGACCAAATTGGCAATAAATCCTCATTTTCTAGATGACCAGGTAAATGAACGAATTATGATATGAAATTTTGACACATAATAAATATTTCTGAGACCATCAAATTCACTAAGTTTCAGCCTTACCACCTAAACATGAGATTTTGTAAAATTAATACAAGTTTTCAGCAAGAATAAGTATGCATTTAGATGACCAATCAAATGAATGAATCTAAACCTAATATTTTTATGAAGGTAAATACAACATGCTGGGAGTGTCATATAAACATTTCATGCATAAACAATAACCATGTGAATTATGACAATTATTCTCAGATTCAGCAAAATACACATTTTTGATAAAAACTCAGCAAAATGAAATCCAATAATTTATGGAATTTTTACACCATCAAATACCACATCAAATAAGCATACTAACCGAGTTCATGAATTAACATCAGGAATTCGATTTTTCATGGATTTTACAACATTCAGCAAATCTGAGAAAATAATTATCTACCCAGACAAATGACCTCCAAAAATTATGAAAATTTTACAAAAGTTCCAAATACATCATGATAGCAACATATCCAAATTTCATGATTTTTGCGCAACCACACAATTTATCACGTATTTTACAAGTTGCAGCAGACACATCAACTTTAAAAATCCATAACTTGAAAAATACAACTCCAAATTGAACAAAGTCAAAACCATTGTGATCAGGACACAAAGATATTCCATATTCCAAGAGGTTTCCATGAGAAAGTCTCAGATCATAAGGGTTTCGAATTAATCCTTATGGATCTAAAATACTACACTATATGAAATAACAATTTATTTTATCCACATTCAAATTGATTATGCTATAATATACAATCAGCCATATCATATAATCTCATGGTATAAAAATGGAGTATAGTAAAAATTACCAAACACCAAAGGGGAGAAGATAAACGAGGCTCGGTTCTACGGAAAAAGCTCGTTGACTTTCGAATCCTAAGGGCGGGGAAATCGTCCTCGTGCTCAGCGTTCGGAGGCTACTCGCACGAGAGAGGGGTGACCAGAGATGGCGGAGGGCTGGTCGGCGAGCGAGGATGACGGCCAGGTGCTGCGGACGGAACACGGTGGTCGGAGGTGGCCGCGGGTGGTGCGGCTTCAGTGGATGTGCGCGCGGGGAGCGAGGGTGGGGCGGCGGCTTCCGACGTCAAGGCGTGGCTGAGGAGATTTTTTCCGGCGACCAAGAGAGAAGGGAGAGGGAAGAATCTTTGAATTTTGGGAGGAATGGAGAGTGGGGGAGAGAAAACCGAGAGAGATAGAGTGAAAGAGAGAAAGAGGGTAATCTTCCCTTTTTAATAGCAAGTCAAAATGTAACTCATAAGACTTGGTCAAGTTCATAATGAGGGAATAAGAGCTGATTTTATGGGATGAGATGTTACAATTTAAATTCAAAATTTAAAGATAAGCCTTGCATGCATGGGAACATGGGAGCTGATTTTATGTGCTACGTTTCATGCGCGGGCTGAGGAAAAAGCCCGATTGCTAAAATGCGTTCGAACTTTAAAAACCGATTAGGCTCAATGCTCGTTTCGATCAACAATATATATATATATATAGTCATAATTCAACTCAGTCATAAAATTTCAATTACTAAAACATTTAGACAATTACTATCACATAATCGAATAAAATACTAATCGAGCACGAAATAGATAATCTCGGAAAAAATAAAATAAAATAAAATAAAATAAAATAAAATAAATAATACTAAATGAATCTGGAACACATGGGGCGCTACAATACTTCTACAATAAATTATTCAAAATTAATTCTTAGAATATCACTGACTGAATACATGTCTAAGTTGATGTTTATTGCCATTGTAAACTAGGAAAATGAATAATACAATTCATGTGTATATTATTACAATTGAAAAAATATGCACATGTATACATATATAGAGTTGAATATTTGCTAAAAAGAAAAAGAAATAAAATCGTATCACAAATCAAATATACAATACCAATTATAGCATGTCAACATAATTATAAAATATGTTTAACACTGATTGGTCAATTTGTCAGGGACCGAGTTTGCTTATCACAGTCGATCCTTAACCGTCCTTCTACTCCAAGCTTTGATAATCTGCAATGCGCCGGGAGGGGGTGATGAAGATCGTGTATCTTGATAACTTGATTTGCTTCAAAAGTTGCTTGCCAGGCTTCCTTATCGGCAATAGGTTAGACAGTTCAGATGTTATATCCTTGCCAAACTCGAGCTTATGACTAACTATGCGGTGAAACGCTATTTTCTACACAAGAGTTTTGCGATAAAACTCAAAAGAATTCTAACGCAAGATATTGGTGACCAATGGTTGATTTTTTATTAATTCAAGATATGAAAATAAATGATGAATACATAGGTCTATTTATAGGAGAGAAAGTACAGAATAAACTACTAATCCTATGAGGAATCAAATTCTAATCCTAAGGAAATAATAAATCTAGAATTCTAATAATTACCAAATAACTATTTTGCCAGATGCCAATTATTCTTAAACATCTAAACCTACTAGGAATAATTAACTAATAAAATAGATAAGAAATTTAGAAGATATTCCTTCTAGAAAGGCCAACTTGTGCCCCAAGTCACGCTGGTCGCGTCTAGACCTAGGTCTTCTCGGACTGCCAGCATGGCCTGAGCGTGGTGTTGTCTCACCCGTGCCCAACTCGAGAATGTCGCTCGACTTCCTAGTTGCACGCGTGCATCCGCGTTGTGCCCATCCACAAGAGCCTCGGCCCTGTGCGCGTACTCCTGCGCGCCACACGCTCCTCTGCCCTTTCGCGCCCGCGAACAGGTTCGTCTAGGTCGCGAGTGACCTATTGGCGCGCGAACTTGTTCGTTCAGCACGCGAGTGCTGCCTGCGCGGTCGCGCTGGGTCTGTGAGTTCCGATGACCCTTGCACTGTCACATACGAGCTCGTATGCGTTTCTTGACCCATCCTCGCATTGTTTTAGTCTTTCGCGAGGTCTTCTCGGGTCGTCTCAGCTCTCGACCCATTTCGTCCTTGGAGGCCAAATCCTCCATTCTCATCAGAGGGTCCCGACGTAGACACTCCGACGCATATGTCAGAAATCGCTCAAGAATAATCTGATAAACTATGTATTTTTATGCTTTATTATCCGATATATATTAACATAGAACCTGGTTACCCTTATATAGGGTGAGCGTCTTAATGTCCAAGAGAATCCTTGTTAGATAAGAGATCTAACTATATCCTCTTGCCTAACTTACTATGTCTCTGTCCATGCATGTCTCCTTGACAAACTGTATTTTTCATCCTACTTAGATTCCTTCTCCTTTTATCATACAACTCTTAGGTCCCTATGTTCTAACCATGACCTGAACATCTTTATGTAGCTTTACTGAGGTCAACTCTCCCGACCTCTGGAATTTTGATCTCAACACTTTGAGATCCCTCTCCATACACGAGCTCCTGGAGGTCGTGGCCTCTAGGTCATTTTATTAGGTCAACCAATACCTTGAGCTACATTTGTGAGCTCCTCGACTGGATTATCTTCTTCATAGTGAGCTGGAGCACCTCTAGACCGGCCTAACCCGAGCTACCTGCTCAAGCCGGTCTGTGTATCTATTCTGAGTGCTACATCATCTAGACACCTATTTTAGGACGAGTTGACAAGACTTCTGCATAAATTATATTCGTCTGTGCCCTTTGCCCCTGGTTTTTTTTTTTTTTTTTCACATTCCGACAGCACGAAAGAATATGAGACGCCAAACGACTCACCTGCTTGGATCATGAGCCATCGCTATATTGTTTGTCAATGTGTATCTACCCTGTCGAACCTTGGCCCACAAAATCCGAGCCCTCAATCGTCACGTTTATCCAACGGTCGGATCAGCTACTCGTTTTCTTCCTTTTGGGCTTATAAAATTTTCACTTCGTTATAGAAAATCCTTCACCATTTCTGAAAAACCTTCTAGCTTAATGATCTCCCACCTTGTAGCTTTTATCTTTTTCCTTTAAAAAACATGCCAAATTTATGGCCATCTTACCACTCAAATTCATCTTAAAGTTTATCGCTGCCTTTATTTTCTCGCGAGACTTTTCTTTTTTTTTTAACATGGAGTTATATTTCTTTTTTTTTTGTCCCGTAACAATTTCTTTTTTGTTACTTCTTCCTCCCCCTTCTCCGGAGATATGTGTCGGGACACTGCCAGCGACTTTTGGCACCAAACTCATGTCGTGCTAGTTCACGGGGGTGGCTAAACGTGATGCCACAGAACCTCAACGAGATTTTCTTTTACTGCTTATTTATCTTCTTTAGGTATTACTGTTTTCTCTTGGACCAATTACCCTTCCGGCGACAGAGGCTAAGAATTCACCATCTTCTCGCCCAGACATTTATGTGGGCGGCTTCTATCGGACTTGCGTTGCTGGTGTTCTACCAACCCACGAATGGTGACGACCATGGGCACTGTCGGCGTAATTCTCCCCTCTCTTTTTCCTCTTGCTTGTCGCGTCGCTGCTTTATTTTTCCGTAAACTCACAACTGAGCTTGTAGTTTCTCCTTTTTAATTAATGTTGTTCTCTCTCTCTCTNAACCGACTTCTATCGAGGAAATCACATGTCCAAAACTGGCTAGCATCCGACCCGTTTCAACCTGGTGAACAATAACCTAGCCATACTTGTCACTCCTTTTGCTTCTATGAAAATCTTGCGGCTTCCGCCGACTGATTCTGAGGAGATCCCCCCGTAGTTGTTTGTCTTGCTGGTGTCCGCCATTACTTACTACTTTTAAAGTCCAAAACAGACGGATTGCTATCCACCTTCGTAAATCTTCAAAGCGAGCACGACCACTACTTTACTTACCTTTTCTGTTAAAACTTGTGGCTGACTCCTTATTTTGGGAATTTGCGGCTGCTTCATAATCTTTTTCTTTTTCTTCGTTGGGTATGTTTCTTACATTTTGCACTTATTTTTTATCCGTTGCTTGCTATTTTTTCCCGCTTTTTGCCGGCGAATATTGGGCCTAGCCACACTTTTTTCCACTTCTATCATATTCCTCTAATACTTTTAACCAATCTCTTAAAAAACACGGCTTCTTTTCTTGAAAATACTGCTGTCGATTTTCTTTCTATTTTTAAAACTCGCGCCTACTGCTTTCCTGGACCTGCAGCCGTGCCACGGCGATATCGTTTTGTCGCCTTCTTACGGGAATAAACCTACTTCTATCGGCATCTTACTGCTACTCTGGTTAGAATCCCGGACCTCGCCACTTTCAGGCCTCTATGACCCCGTGGCCACTACAGAGCACAACCAACAAGACCTTATGGCGATACACGACTTTTTGCCTAACACGACATCTTGACCATCATGTTTTTTTGGACGCCACCGACGACTTACTCCCTTGGTCTTTTTCTCCTCTTTTTATTCTCTTTTTTTACGTCAGCGCTTGGCCTGGCCAATGTCCTGCGACCATGCCAGCCACAGTGACCTCCCGGTGGCAATGACCACCTGCTTCTATGGCTTCCTTCTTTATTCTATTCTCTCTATTTATTTATTTTTTCGATCGCGGGCCCTTTCTGAGCCTGCATACGTTGGAACCAGTTCTGCGGCCAACTGATCCAACCTGACACGACCAACACAGCTTGCTGACCACCCTGACCGCTCTCTTCTTTTATGCATATATATTTTTCATCACGAGACTGCCCTAAGTCCGACTGAATTCACACCCATCATGTTACAATATTTGTATCGAATTACGTGGGAACCTATGAACTAAAGTTGGTGATTCCAGTTCTTACAACTTTAACTAAAAAACTGAAACAAAAGTTAAAAAAAAAAAAAAAAAAAAAAAAAAAAAAAAAACCAAAAAATAAGCCGAGGCGATTGCTCTTTCCGCAAGAATAAAAAGCTTCATATAGTGCTAACGAGTTCAGACATCTCATCCCAAAAGATATAACGACTGAAGTCTCGAAGGCTGTAGTACTTGATTGTTATGATGCGTGAGGCTTTGGAGAGTATGCAGATTTTCAGATGATAGTGTAAGTGTTCTGTTGCTCTATAACATGTCCTATTTATAGGACTTCTAACAGCTACTCATGGCTGTTGTGAATTGTAAAACAGTTTCAGATGTTACACCTTCAATCCACCATCTGGTAACCACCAAGACAGTCAGGTAGAAAGACATGTCCAGGTCGAACCTAATGAGGTAACTCACGGGTTGGATCACCTCTGATGTCATTACCTAACACGGAATTCTATATTCATTTTATCAACGACAACCTCCAATCCTCCTGTTCTTCGACCTCCATGAACTGCTCCAATACACTCGAGCCAATCTCAAGAAGTGTTACCGACCTAGACTTAAAGTGTACCAAAGATGTTGTCACCTTCTACCGTTTTTCCCTCTTGGTATCTGCACTAGTTCTCAGGTTGCAAATTCTTTCAACAAAGAGTGTTCCTCGGTACCTCTGCATGCATTCTTTCTTGGCATCGTACTCCCTCTCACCTTCTCGAAGACGATATGAGAATCCAAGTGAACAATTATGCATTTGGTCACCCTCCTTTGCTACGAGTTGTATCCCCTTAATCAATGCTTCGCATTCTGCCTCATTGTTCAAGGCCCTAAAGGACTTCTTCACAAAAAACTCTAGGAGGTCTTGTTGGAGTATACTGTAGAATCTCAGCTTTGTGATTACTCCCAATTCCATTTTGAATGAGATGTGCGTTTAGTCAAGTGTTTTGTGTTCGTAGTCTATTTATTTATACGAACATAGTTTCTTTACTTTATATAGTAGATAATATAGTTTGATGTGTCGAATAGAAATATCACATTATTGATGTCTTGTAAAATATAAATATTTGTTCACAACCCAGACATAATTGAATTAATTGTCGTGAAAAACTGTAGTGTGATTTTAAGTTAGTTGATCTTTGACTAATGAATTACACTGCTACATCTCACATGTATTAAATGGACCTACAAAAGGATAAGATTATTTTTATGCTGACTAAGTAAATAATCTTGACCTCAATAATTGTTGTTTTCTCTTAACGCTTAAGAAAATAAACGGGCACATGTATTCAACACTTATTTATTTTATTTACCAAGGGTGATACCTATTCTGTTAAGTTGACGTACTCGGTATTTTTGTAAGTGATGTTGTTTACATGATGTGCCGCTGAGATTGTTTACGGTCACTGTGTCCCGATCCGTCGGGTTGATGACGTCCCCGAAATGAGGTTAAGAAGGATTATTATGTCAAGCCCAACCGGCGAACTAATTTCCTACATAATATTAAAGAATTGTGTGGTACTATTTTCGGTGGGTAAATTGCATCAAACTTCCATAAGTTATACGAAATAAGTGCGTTACTACCATGTGTTTTGAAAACGCATGACACCCCCTTGTATTTTAGTAATTGTGCATGATTTCCCTATTTCGTCCAACTTAACGGCGCGTGCGCAACACCTTCTATGCCTGCTAAAATTTTAGAATTTTTTTATATTACATAATTAATAAATTAGCTTTATGCCCTCTCGAGTTTTATTGAACAAACTAAAACTTATCCAGAGGGAGTAATTGAACCCGGGTCTCAAGGAAGTGAGACTGTCCACTGAACCAGTGGGCCAGTGGGCCATATAGATTCTTGTGGAAGAGTTGTACACAACTACATTTATAATATCAATTCCAAACAAATTATAAAAGTAAAATAAAAATATAGTAGGTAAATTTAATATATTTTTTTTTCAAATCAGTACATTTAATATAAATTAAATAATAATATTAATAGTAAAAATAATAATAACAACTTGCAATACATAGTAGCATGATTAAAATTAAATAATGTATATACTATTAATTAAAATAAAATTAATTATATAAATTTGAAAATGAATAATAATAAAATTAAATTTAAAAGTAAATAAAATTAAAATAATATAATAGATAAATTTAATATATGTTAAATAATAAAAATCTCCGAAGTGAATCGTTCGAATTTTTTGGTGCGGTTCTGGAGATCGAATTTAGTGATCTCTAAATTTTGGTACGATTTTGGAGATTTCTCCATCTCCGAAACGTACCAACCCATGCTCACCCAAACCGAGCCCAACAAATTGGCCAAAGTCACTCCCAAATTTAAGAGGATCCCTGTTTTTTCGCTCATTTACTATTCACCGCCCCCCCTTTTACTATTTTGCCCTTAACCCTTTTTCTCTCTATCTCTTTAAACTCTCTATCTCTCTAAATTCTCCAACTTTCAACGAGCCATTCGAGCTTAAAAAAAAATCCGAAAAAATGTCGAAAAAATCACACGGCCTCGGCAAAGCATTCTTCTCTAGCAAGGTAATTTTTTTTCGATGTAAAATATTTTTAATTTTTTTTTAACTTCTGGACAACCAAAAAGGCGTCCGGCCTCGCCGGACGCACGACTTCTCAGCCGATTGCGATCGGCGGCCGGACGCTGCAAAAACTGGTCGCGATCGGCGGCCGGACGAACGAAATCGGATCGGCCCCGCCGGCCTGTCACGAGCCGGCCGAACACTTTTTTTTATAATAATAATAATTAATAATTATAATAAATATTATAATTAATTATAAATTATTATAATAATAATAATAATAATAATAATAATTATAAATTATAAATAATTATAATAATAATTATAATAATTATAATTATAATCTTAATTATAAATTAGAATTAATTATTAGAATTTATTTTAATAATAATAAATTATAATTTATTATAATAATAATAATAATTTATAATTATTATAATAATTATAGTATTTGCATCGCTCGACTAAGGAGGATAGGTTGTAACGCCCAGTTTCTTTTCCGTTAAATCATAGTATTTGCATCACTCGACTAAGTTTAAATCTTGTTGTTTATTTCTTCTTATTTGCTCTTGTTCGATTAAATTGTCCTAAATGTTAAGTGTGTATTGTGAATTATTTGCTTAAGTAATTATATGATTATTTGCTCAAGTGATTATATGAGTATTTGCCTTAGAGATTATTTGACTATCTGGCTACGTGATTATTTGATTAATTGCCCATGTAATTATTTGATTTTGTACCTAAGTGATTATTTGATTATTTTTGTTTTAGTATATTTTTGTGCTTAATTGGATTGTTTGCTTAGGTGTATTTTTGTGCTTAAATGGATTGTTTGGCTAAGTGAATTTTTGTGCTTAATGGAACTGTTTTCCTAAGTGTATTTCTGTGTTTAATTGAGTGCTTAAATTCCCTAATGACATGATTGGTAGGAAGGAATGACATGGGAATGGAATGATCATTCCCTTACTCATTCCTAATCCTATGATTGGTATATTTTTTGAGAAGGAATGACCATTCCAATGGGAATGGCAAAACCCATCTCCATGGGATTAACCATTCCATAGTAAATGGAAGGTTTTCTCATTTCCATGTGTATAGAATCAACTTTTCAAAAAATAAAATTAACAAATAATAATAAAAAATAAATATATAATATATATTATAAATCATGATTAAAATATATTAAATAAAATTATTTTTAAAAAAAATTCAAATAAAAAAATTGAAAATTTACTTTTATTTATATTTTAATTAGATATATTAAATACTTATATAAAAATAAAACTAAAAAAAACATTTATATATAATTTAAAAATATATTATTTTATTTTTATATATTATTAAAAATATATTATTTTTTATATATTAAAAATATATTACTTTTAAAAATATATTATT